TATTTTCTTCAAGAATTTAATTATTCTTTTAAAAATTCACACAAACCCAAATGAACTAATGTGTTGCTTTACTTTTTCACGCAAGATAATTTTGAAATTTATGCTCCATAATTAAAAAGAAAATACTATTTTTTTGGTTGAAAAAGAAAGTACTATTTCTACAATATGAAAAAAAGTGTACTCATTTTGTTAAAATGAAAGAAATATTTTTTTTCTACATCATGAAAATAAAATACTCATTTTGTTAAAATTAAAGAAAATACTTTTTCTACATTATTTTATTAAAATGAAAGAAAATATTTTTTTCTCCATCATGAAAAGAAAATACTTTTTTTTATTGATATGAAAAGAAAATACTCATTTGTTGATATGAAAAAGAAGGTGTTCTATCTACAACATGAAAGATAGTACTCTTAATAATATTTCTATTTAGGGTGGCGGGTGGGGGTAGGGTGGTTTGGGAGTAGGGGTGAGTGGAAAACTATACAAATTTGCTTCTACTTATTAAACTATTTTTGCTATTTAAGTATGCATCTAGAAAGAATAAGTACGCTAAACAATAGTAAACAGTAATTACATGTTTAGAAGGAAAAAAACGGAAAAAAATACTCACACGGTTAACTATAGGGAGAAGAAACTTACGAAGGAAGAGGAGTTGGAATACCTTTATAGCATTTTGAGTTTAAAAAATAATATCATGTATTTTGAGTAAGTTGGAAGATAACCCACTAGGCTAATCCATATTCTAGCCACATTTTACTCTTGAATACCAGTATTTCTGCAGGTTGAACATGACTTAAAGCCCAAATTTTACCCAACTTAAATATCACTCATCTAACTCACCAAAATATGGGCGAATTAGGCGGGTTCACAAAATATGAGTTCATTTTGCCAACACTATTTATAAGCAAAAGGATTCTAGAGATGAGAATAATTTTAAGGATTGTAAGACGTTGGTCGAGTTGGAATTAGAGCCTCCAAGCCCTAAGTCCGTACACAACTCATTCTTGTAGAAATGGCATGGGGTAGCCACTGTTTAAGCTGGTATTTACTTTTTATCCAGCATTTTCAATGCTTAGCAATAGTAGCGACTAATCTATTAAAATTAATATGAAAAGACAGTATTAACCTTTCCTTCCCAAACGGAGCCATTTTCCTTGTCCGATCTGTAAACCCTGTCATTCACCACCGTCGGCGAGAATTCACTGTATAACTTGGTTGATCTCTTCCTACTTATGCTCTTTTCTGTTTTTTGATTTACCATCGACCACTATTTGTTCCTTTTTACTTTACCTTTTGTTCAAAGTTGAAAGGATCAATTCAATCTCGTTTTTTGTATTACCAAACACAAAACCAATCTTATCTATTTACATTATTTTCTTCAATGATTTTTAAGAGTTCACGAACTCTTACCTTATTGTCTTGGACACACAGTCCTTAACTTACAGTTACACGTTCAAAAGTTAAGGACAAGCAGTCCTTAACTTACAGTTACAAGTTCAAAAGTTAAGGACAATAGGTCCTTAACTTTGACTTACAAGTTCAAAAGTTAAGGACGCTTGGTCTTGAAGTTTGAGTTCCAAGTTCAAAAGTTAAGGACAGACAGTCCTTAACTTACAGTTACACGTTCAAAAGTTAAGGACAATAGGTCCTTAACTTACAGTTACAAGTTCAAAAGTTAAGGACGCTTGGTCTTGAAGTTTGAGTTCCAAGTTCAAAAGTTAAGGACATGTAGCCTTGAAGTCCTGAACTTAGAGTTACAGGTTCAAAAGTTAAGAACATGTAGTCCTGAAGTCCTGAACTTAAAGTTCCAAGTTCAAAAGTTAAGGACATGTAGTCCTGAAGTCCTGAAGTTAAGGACATGAGCAGAAGGGTATTTTCGTCAGGGCAGTTAAAGTTTATTAAAGCAGTGGCTAAAGACTAAAGACATTTTAAACGGTGACTTAAAAGTAAATACATGTGTTATTAGTGACCAACCGTGCACTTCCCCCTCATTCTTTTGCTACCTGTTAAGCAGTGCAAATGTAAATCATATCTTTTTATTACGTAAGAATGAGTAGATGCTTTCTGTTGCATGAGAATGAATGGTTCTTATTAAGTCCAATGGATAGATTTTCTCCCTTATTTATAAGGTAGACAATTAGTGTACGTATCAAATTCTTGACGGCATTTTGACGTTACTTTAAATATAAAATGTACATTGTTGATTTCATAGCAACAATTTTCTTGTGATCTCAAATTGACTCGTCTGTATTTTTTATTGCTCTTAATTAAGCCCCAAGTCTTCGCATAATAATCAAAGATTTGAAAAACGACATGTACTACTAATAGAGAAACGGACGAAGCACAAAATTTACACCAATATATGCCGTGCAAAATTCCATGAGGTTCTTGGGGTCATTTTGTTGGTCAAGGAAAGAGATTTATGCCTCATTTGTTTGTACTTAACGAAGGTATGTATCTTAATCATCAGATCTAAGACATTAAATACATTTATTTTTGACAGAATGGCCTAAGGGCCACCTAAATTTTGCACCCGTTTGTCATTCTGGCATATAAACTTACAACTTTCCCATTTTGGCACTCAAACTTCATAGAATGACTATTTATAAACACCTCTCAGTGAGCGTGTTCCATAATTGCTATAACAAATATGACACGTCACATTTTTAGCTGCTACATCTTCAATTTTTTTGTCTTTCAAATACTTCCTCCGTTCACTTTTACTTGTTAAGTATTCTAAAAGCAGATTTTTACTTTTACTTGTCACTTTTAGCATATCAAGAGATAACAATTTCTTTTTCCCTATTCTACTCACAGGATTAATTACTCATTTCAAATAATTTTCTCAAATCCATTAAAAATATGCATCAATTAAGGGGTGCGCACTTCATTTATTATTTTTTAAAGGGGGTGCGTCCATAGTGGACAAATAAAAGTAAACGGAGGGAGTATTTTTTAATTCTGCACCCCACCTCTCGTGTAAACCCACTTCTTTTTCGCCATTTTTATGTTGTCTTTACTTATTGTCATCAATGGCCACAACAAGGGCAGAAACAAACCTGACAAATTCTAAAACTCTAGACTTGCATATTAAAAATCTGAAATCCACAATCCAAAACACCTAGATTTCACATTCACATTACCACAAGCAAAATCAGCGTCAATGCACTAAGTTCGTCCCAAGAATCATTACCTTCAAACCACCGGAAAAAATGCAAAGTCATTCCCATCATAGCTCAATTGCCATGTGATTACTGATTACCCTTCTCACCCAATCTTGTTTTTTTTCCCCCTCTTCAAGTTTCCAATCACTGATTTCTCTTTTTGAAAAAAACGATCATCTTTCCCGTTTTACCCCTATTTTTAAACGTCTAATTTTTCCGTCAACCTCATCACTAACATTATTGAAGGGTAAAAGTTAAGATGGTAACATCAAATTTTCTGCTAAAAAAAAAAAAAAAAAAAAAAAAAAAAAAAAAAAAAAAAATCTTTCAGGTTTAGGGTTACAAAAAGGGGACACGTCTTGGTAAATAATAAATTGAAATCTTTAAAGAATTGAGAAAACTGTGTAATCTCTCAAGTAAAATGAATTACACAATCGAAAGCATTAAATGGGAGCCTTGAGCCATTTTACTATGAGAAAGATGATACTAAGCTTGAATTTAAACAAAAATACTGAGGCACTCAAGAGAAGAACAGCTACACTTTTTGAGCTATGTTTATGCAGAAGATTGTACTGTCACAAAAATGGAGTTTATTCTCCTAGCTCATTTATTTTATTTATTTGAGGACCGAGAAATCTGTCTAGGAACAACTACAGCATTCGAAAATCGGATAATGGGTCATCCCCTCTACCCTACTCCACTTAAATACCAAGCTTAATTTGCATGGCACGTAGCTCAAGCCCGTGACTTAATCACAAGTCCTTCCCTTTTCCACTTGAACTAAGGCCCTGTGTGCTCTCCTAATCAAAGGTTTTAAGAACTTTTAGTTAGCACTCTTTTCAATTGTACCTAACAAACAATATTGCCAATACAACAAGGCTAAATGTACTAAACAAACAATATTGGCAAGAAAACAAAACAAAGATGATTAGAGGAAACAAGGGGAACGTGGGCGAATTGTATACCGCAGGGGCATCATTGGATCAGACAGAAAAAGTGGCTTGGAACAAGCACATTGCTATATAGCAGTCAAGGATGTAAACAAAATCCATGAACTCAGAAACATGCCTAAGAAACCTTCTCTCAAGGTAAGTGAAGCTCCAATGAGTGAATGACGTCGTGCGCCCTTGCAGTATGGCCCGTTATTGGTTTTCCTTAAAAGTTGAAAGTTCTCCCAGAAATACCAGACTAAAATTTGCAGGTAAATGATTGAATGAAATGATCTATTTCTTCTTCCTTTTGTCACATATAAAGAACACAACAAAGGCAGCTGCGATTCCTGCAGTAATAAACAAGACACGGTCAGAGCACCGGACATGGGATCCCGGCTTTCGTTGTTTGGAGTGCTATTTGCATCAGCTCTGAAGAGAAACAGAGAAGCGCAGGTGATATGGATGTGGGGGGTGGGGGATAGAGAAGAGAGTGCATACCTATGCCGAACAAAATCCATGGTGAAATGGTGCCGAGGATGCTTAGAATTAATAGAGAGAAAACCACCTATTGCATCAGCCAGATGAAAGATTTCACAACTTAATAGATGAAATGCCAGATCACAGCAAGATCCAAATACAGCTAGTCCTATTACTTTTGGCCAACAGAATGCCTAGAAAGTCCCATGTTGTCTGGATTCAGCTTTCGTCAGGATTGAGGTGTTTATTTTGTATCATTTCACTTGGTCTTATTTAGTAGCTAGTGATCATCCAATAATGATATAAAACACTCCTTCTGATATATAGCTAGTAGTGATTCCATCTCCATGGACATGGTCAAACCATCAGAGTCGATCTCAAGTAATTTGGGATTGAGGGGTTAGTTGATTGCTCAATTAATATTTTGATTGAGAGTATCGCTGCTATTGTTTGAATTTACATCATTATATGAACTTGAATTCTTGAAACTTATTGCAGTTGTTTTCAAAAATCTACATGCAAGTGCCAAATATTTCGAGACATCACCACACAATGCTGTTCCGTAAAATGGATGGGACGGACTTAAAGAAAAGGTAAAGAATTTCATATGATAATTCGTTTGTATTTTATCAGAAAAGAACATGCCTATTCAATTCATAACCATGGCTTCGTACTACCTTCTGAAACTAAATAGTAAGGTGTCACTATCAGTCAATCACAGTTTTGCTCTCACAAGAAATGGATATTATGAAATAGAAATTACCATGAGGAAGAACATCCAAAGAGATGCAGATGATTTAGAAGGACCTTCCTTTCCTGGCCCGTGTTCAGCTCTCAAATGTGGATAGGACTCAAGTGTCCTCCTAAGGCCCTCCTGAAGAAAATAGAGTCACGCCTTAAAACTAAAACGAATTATGTAATGAGAATAAAAGCAAAAATAAACAGCAGAAAATGATCGAGTGTAAATAAATGAGGCCCCACAGCAAAATGGTAGCTTTAAAAGATCTAACGTACAATTGTAACACATGAATATCAGTGTCTTATATTAAACATAAGTTGAAAGTCACATGTACGACATATTTGACAGGAAGATGTGCTCATTCCTGCAGTAATGATGCGGACATTCAGAAATTTTCTGGCACTTAATATCAACGGCAAATAATAGATTTTGCAGAAAATAGTTTACCATACTTTTACCACATGAAAAGATCCACAAAGAAGTTGCAAAGAGAGAAAACAATGCAGAAAAGACCATAACAATACCTAAAAAAATTGGGAGCATCTGAGACAGACATGGTATGGCTAAATTTTATAAGGAATTATCAGAAGCAATTGATTGACTGCAAGGGAAATACAGGAACCTGAAGTGGGACAATAGGTGCGTATCCTATTCGATCACTTGCTTTTGAACAACTAAATGTTCTGCTACGGGACAGGAGTCTGATTCTTGAAGGAGTCAACTGTGGAACCTTCATTCCGTAAGGAGCTAACAGCTTATAAGTCAGCTCCACCAAATGCGCAATTGGCATCATAACAGATGCAGGAATCTTGATACTTGGCCTGCATACACAGCATTTGGTAAACAGGATAGGGAAGACAGATGCTATCTGGTAGACTATTATGCAAACAATAATTCTTTTTCTTTGATCTAGTAACCCTGATCCCCCCTCCTGAACACCCTGCCCAGGAGTTGACTGTGTCCCTTTGCTCTCTCAGTGACTCAGAACTGCCAATTTATAGTTGGAGGTGGAGGACCCTTTCTCTTCTTATAGCCCGTTTGGCCAAGCTGCAAAAATCAACTTATTTTGAGAAGTGCTTTTTTTCAAAAGTGCTTTCTCAAAAGTTCTTTTGGTGAGAAGCAGTTTGTGTTTGGCTAATTAGTTTGAAAAGCACTTCTGAGCAGCAATTAGTGTTTGGCCAAGCTTTAAAAAACTGCTTCTAAGTGTATTTTTCTCAAAAGTGCTTCTCAAAAAAGTGCTTTTGGAGAGAAGCTACTTTTTTCTGCTTCTCCAAAACTGCTTCTGCTTCTCCTCAAAAGCACTCTTTTTCCTTCCAAAAGCTTGGCCAAACACCTCAATTTTTGGCCAAAAATGCTTTTGGCAAAAAAAAAAAAACACTTTTGGCCAAAAAGAAGCTTGGCCAAACAGGCTATTAGAAAGAAGAGATGAGTTATACAAAACTTATGTATTAATAGACAAATGCTGTTGAATATATCAGATGTATATGCAAATACCAATGATAAAAAATACAGTCTCAATTAACTAGGAATTATATAAGGGTTGGTCTACGGTTACAAACTCACCAAAGGAACCCCTCCTCCCGATCATACAAACATTCAGACATATTAATACAGCTCTTCTGATGAGCAAACTGAAGGTTTGTCAAGTTTGATAGTCAACACCAAACCTAAATTGAATAATAATGTTCTGTATAAACTTATCCATCGAGGGCGGAGAAAGGCAGAAAACATTAAGGGTTATATGGAATGCTGCTCTTTATCTACTTAAGGGACAGTTTGCTCTCTCCTAACTCATTAAACTACATCCCAAAGTTTTCTAACAAGTGACTTCTTTAATTATAATTTCATGAGGGTACTGGATAAACGCAAAACCTTAATGATATTTGTTTAATGAAGTTTCTCACTAGTTCTTCAGTGTGACCAAGAATATCCTTTTCTCCATCTGTGGACTTAAACCTTTAGAGTAATCAAATTCTTTTTCAGAATTACAATAAAGGGATGTGGCAATTCTACTTCCAAAAAGGAGGAAATACCCTGTAGCAAAATTTAGAAAACTTTGCAGTATAAGACATTATAGATATTTCAGGAGAACGGTAAACAAGATTGTAAAAAGAACAAAAAAAAATCAGGGTGCAGAACTTCAAATGAGAATACCTGTCATAGCCAAGACCTTCAAGAATAAGCGAGACAAACTCCCAAAACTTAATGGGCTCCATGTTTGTGACAAAATATGCCTGCAAACACATTTGTTGATCTAAGATTTATCTAGCAAAGCTCACACTCAAGAATTATTAAATCCCATATAATGCTTTTCTCTTTTTCCACAGACACCATGACACGTAAGAAAACATGTACACTCATAAACTTTGTGCATGTCAAAATGTAATCACTTTGACATATCACTTCATTCCAAACCCCATCCCCAGTTGCAGGATAGCAAAAACATAGAGATTGAGAAAGTGGGGAGAAGAAAACTATGCTGTCTGACTACCAAAAGAAAAAGAAAAGAAGAAAGGTAACCCCTTTTTGAATGCTTGCTGTAATATTAAATTGGAGAGAGAAGATGAAACAAAATTATGACTTCGCACAAGGGTTGAGGTCCCTGACCAGCAAATGAATAGGAAAACTGGCGGGGTGGCTCTTATTTTATTGTTTGCTGTACAATTATGGGCCCAAATACAATGGATGCACAAGTATGTCCCTCCTAGTTAGCGTTCAGGTATGATTTCAAGAGAAAGGGAGGAAACGGGGAAACCTAACTTACAGAGACATAAAGACTAATGTATGGCCACACAACAGCTGGTAACCTTAAATAGTTAAAACCCCTAGAGAATTCAGATTTTCATGGAATCATAACTAGCTAAGAGATATCTTGTTTACGCAAACATACAAGTAAACTTCGAAACTAAGGAGAACCTAAATGAAATTAATGAGTTTCACCCAATCTATGGAGTTCTAGTATGCAGTATATGCATTTGCTAAAGCTAAAACTTGGCATCATTTAGGTAAACTTAATTTAGATAGCTCAAGCTTTTTTGCCGCATGAGATCAGGTTGATCATTTTTTTTGCAAGCATATTACAATCATGTGGGATGGATACAAGAGATGAGACTTGAATGGAAACTCAAAAATCTCCAGTGCATTGCAAATCATGGATCTTTCCATGCATAAGGCCACTACTTAAACAATTTTGAAAAACAGAAATGCAATTGATATTAAAGCACATGGCACAGGTCAGATACTGTAGTTGCTTGCATTAAAGATTTTTCAAAAATTACTGAATATGGAAAAACAAAGAAACATTACATTCCCAGCAGCTTTCTCTGCAGCTGCTCCTCCTGATGCTAGAGCTCGTTCTGCACACACATGAGCATGTGCTACATTCTCCACGTAAGTGAAATCATACATGTTGTTGCCATCACCAATAATGAACTGTTTAAAAATTAGAGAATCAAAACTAAAAGTCAACCAAATAGTGAAAAGATGGTAGAATACATCTGCAATTTGCCACTCTTCAACTCCTTTAAGTAGGTTAATTTGCCATAGAGAATGACAATAATAATAAGTGACATGGAAGAGAACGTACAGACCACTTGTTAAGTTCCTCAAGATAGATCTAATCAATGCTATACAAGCTTCCAACTATTACAACAGTATATCGACCTATTATATATGTCTAGTTTCGGATGTAAAGGCTTGCATATAACACAAATCTGATGTGGACTGAAAAGATGCACAAGTAACCAAAATGAGGCTCTAAAATCACCTTCGATTTTCCTGCCTTTGCAGCTGCAACTAGTGAAGGGACGAGCAGCCTATCACCAGGGCCAAAAAGACTGCTAGGTCTAATGCAGCATGTCAGCAGCCCTTTGGTACCATTTGACTTGATAACAAGTGCCTCTCCTTCAGCTTTGGTTGCAGAGTAGAAATCATTATGCTGAAAAATTTTGTCAGTAACAAGAGTATGGTTATACGAGGATTTATTTTTCACTTGGATGGACTATACAGCAGAGGAAGGCACTACCTTAGCAGGATATGGCAGTGATTCATCCCCATTTAGAATTCCATGAACTCCATCAAACACCACACTGGGAGAGCTGGTGTAAATAAGTCTTTTCACTTTCAGCTCAATGCAAGCATCAATTATATTCTGGGTTCCTTCACGTATATTTATGCAATTAAAAAGAGGGATATATAAAAATTTCATGTACAGACAGACAATAAAAGAGCATTAAGAAGTTGTGACAATAGAACTGCTGCCGTAACTTCAGAAAGATCATTTTTCTTCTTAACATATTTTTTAAAGCTTTCCCATTACCTTGCACATTAACTGAATAGTGGAGCTGGTGGTTGTTGATTGATGAATCTGGAGCAGCCATGTGGAAGACAACCTCAGCTCCTTCACAAGCTGCAAATATCAAATGAATAATTAAGACACAACAAGGTAATAAAATGGGCCATCTCCTATGTCACATGGACTCGGGCATAAATGATGGCCGATAAGTATCTGGTACAGATATATGTAGGGTACGTCAAGTTTTTAGCGAGTTTCTAGTGTATCTTGAAAGATACATATACGTGAAATTACAGTGGCGGAAGCAAGATTTTCACCAAGGGGATTTAAGAAATTTGAAAGAAAAAAAAAACATGAAGGAATTAAGGGGATTCAATAGCTAATATAATATATATATATATATATATATATATATATATATATATATATATATATATATATATATACAAATAACCTTTTAACCTTATCTATATAGTGCAATTTTTCGGCGACTGAACTCCTTTCCGCCACCCTGGCTCCGCCCATGCATATATCCAAGTAACATTTATTTAGCATGGATACTTGGAGCAAACGAATACTCCATGCAACATAAGTAATTTCAGATACTAAAGTCAAAAAGATAATGATATCCAAGTACATCTGATACAAGGCTTACTTTATATAAAACAATTGGAACATAAGAAATCATCTAATTGATTCCACACTAGAGCTGAAAACAGATGGAACCTTAATTGATAAACTAAAGCTGGAAGAACTAGTAACCTCCTCCAAACATCTTAGACATGGTAATAGAAGAAATTCTAGTAAATAAGTAACCAATATAAAACCAAAACAACCACATTCAAGAATCAAAAGTTCTGGATTTTGGGTGGAAAAAACAACTAAAAATTCACTAGAAAAAGCAATAAAACCATATTCAAGAACTAGTAACCTCCTCTAAACATTTTAATAGAAGAAATTACTACTTTAGAAGTTGTAATTTTTGGGTGTCAAAAACAACTGAAGATTCAGTTGAAAAATCAGCAAATGAAGAATGGACCTTTGAGGACTTGGGATTTGTTACGAAGATCCATGGATACATACACAGCACGGCCTGATTGGAGGGCTTGACCAAGTATACCCTTTTCCTCAGCAGGCTCAAGTTTAATGGACGGACCCAAATCGGCAATGCGGACATGATAGATTTCATAACGAATCAGCATTTCCACTAAATGCCGAGCAGCAAAGCCTCTTCCACCAGTCACCACACACCATTTCTCTTCTCCTTCACCCATTTACAACAACAATACGGTAAAATGTACAATGCCCAGCAGTTCGGTTGTAGGAGATTCTTGAACGTGAAGTGGGCGATCCAAATAGAGGAGATTCCCTCTGCTGTATTTTGATTGTACACTTGTCCTGTCGCATAGAGGGAAGATTTTTTTTTTTTATTATTATTTGATCTAAGAAGAAAGTAGAAAGATTGAATTTTTGACCAATATTGTGTCTTCTTCGAGGATAGTTCGAGGATAGTTCTATTTTGGTCCCTCAAATATAACCTTGAGCATATTTTGTCCCTTAAGTATGCTAAAGTGGAGCACCTTTAGACTAACTGACATAATGTGTTCGAAACTAACGTTGTTACCTAACTCTGATTCATGAAGCAAATCTTCTGCTTTGAAGCAAAACATTTCCTCTCCTTTTATTATATAATACAAATTATCACTTTAATTTCTTATTTTTAGATAATGTCTTCTAAAATTTTGACCTTGAAAATATCCCTTTCTGTGCATGTTTTCAATGAGAAAATGACATAGTATAGCCGCTGCAAAAATAATAGCCGAAAAAATATATAAAATATGTATGTTTATATATATATATATATATATATATATATCATTTTTATATCTCTATATATATATATATATATATATATATATATATATACTTTTAAAAATTTCGATTGATTTTTCCAAAAAGAAAAGTTAAAATTTGAAAATAAAAATATAGCTACCTGGATCACTTCTAGACATATTATTGAAGCAAACGAATAATCAGGTTGTATTATCACTTTTAACCCGTACCAGAAACTATTTACATCTGGTAGCCGAAAAGTATATAAAATCGGTATAATTTTTGTATATTAACATACAAAATGTACATATATACAAAAAAATATATAAATTTTATACATTTTTTCCGCCGTTATTTTTACAACGTTTATACAGTGTTATTTTCTCATTGAAAACTGACACAAAAAGGGATATTCTCAAGGTCAAAATTTTAGAAGACATTATCTAAAATAAGGAATTAAAGTGATAATTTGCGTTCCAATAAAAGGAGAGGAAACGTTTTGCTTCAAAGCAAAAGATTTGCTTCATGAATCAGAGTTGGGTAACACCATTAGTTTCAACATAATATCAGTGAGACTAAAGGTGCTCCACTTTAACATACTTAAGGGACTAAATATGCTCAGGGTTATATTTGAGGGACCAAAATATACCTACCTTCATAGATAAGGGACAATATTGACCAAAAACTCTAGAAAGATGGGCATTACTCTTTGCTTCCATTTAATCGATCTATATAGCCTTTACAAAACATCGTTCGCCTTTTTTAACCTTTAAATTTTTATTTCATATTGGATAAAATTATAATTTTTTCCAAATTTAGAAGTTTTAAATCAACTACAATATTATGTATTAAATTTTTCCTTATTTAAACTACTCCTAATAATAGGGAGTTTAAAATCAATTTGGATTTACCTTATATAAATTATTCCTTACTTGAACCACAAAATTACTAATCTATGTTTGTTTATATATAAAGGAATAGTAGGACAGAATTTCCTCATGGCCTTCATGTACTCTAAAGTAAAAGAACCACCAATGTAAGTAACTTTTTACACCTTTTTTATTTTTTATTTTTTATTTTTCGCTTTTATCAAACACTACGTCTTATTACTTTAATCTGGTATAATACTTGAATGTGTATCCGATTTTCTGTCTTGTTCTTCGATATTCTCCAGCTATTTGTTTGTTTCTTATTTATTATTGTTTGTTTTAGTTTTTGATTTTATACACAACAATACTTTCAAAAGGTTAAGGAAAATTAATGATGATAGATAAGATTCCGTTTGGGTTCACTTAATTGACATATTAATATCCGTAAATTGAGACGAAAAGGCAGGTAATCTTTATACAAGAAAGCTTAGTTGGTTATCAACTTTTAATTGGTTGTCTTATTTGGTGATTGTAGTTTGCCCAAGGAAGTTGGGAGCTATAGGTTGCGATATTAATGTTTTGATATTTTAGCTATGTGGTTTTTGTGGAAGCATTGATGGGTATAGAGTAGCTATTTGGGAGCGTTTTATCTCTCAATGTAAAAATTTTCGTTGCTAATTCAAATTTCATCAGACCTTATCGGAGCGAAAAATTTAAAAAAAAATTGATATTACTATTGTTGAAATATTTCAATCATGTTTTCTTTGCTGATATATTTGAACTATGTGTTTGTGCAGTCGTAATATGTATCCGACTTTAGTTTCTTCTCAATTTGCGATTTACTCGCACTTGGACAATAATGCTGGAAAACGTAATATGATGTATTATTTATACTTTTATGTTTTATCCAAATAACTCTTTAAAGAATTATAATAAAAATATTTTTGTATTCTTTATTTAGTATTAGATCACAAAATAACAACACGTTCCATAAAATATTCCCTCATAACTCATCCGAAATCACAATAAAGGCATATGAGCAATGTTTTAAAAGGCAGGGGCGTGAGGCGAGGCGTTTTACCTCTGACGAGGCGAGGCGTAAGCCCTGAGACATGCGTAAGTCCCATGGATCTTTAAATTTTACTAATTTCATGATTTTTTAAGATAGTATAAAATAAAAAATAATTATAAAAAGTACATTAAAATCACAGAATTATAACAAATAATATATTAATAAATTATAATTCAACTATGAATAATACGAAAAGTATGACATATATCATAACAAATAGTTGCAATGTCGTTACAACTTAAACATCAAAAGTAATGTATTCGATACGAAATCTTATATGTATCTCTTAAGGAGTAATGAATCTTGAAAGAATTTCGATATTATAATTTGATATTTTTCTTAAAATACTCCTTTTCTTTAATATGCTTTCTATTTGAAAGAGAATTTTTATAAAAATATAATTCACAATTTAAATATGATTCTCAAACATCATTCATTTTTAAGTTTCAACAAGTTAATAAAGTGACACATAATTCACCATACAATACCATGATAAAAATTATTTGTACATAGTTACTAGTTAATACTGAGCTACAAAATTAATAAGTATTGTATCTTGTAAACGTGAAAAAAAATAATTAGAAAAATAATTATAAAAAAAATTATGGACTATTATATAGTAAAGACATAACAATAGTTAATAAATAAATACTTTTTAAATGAAAGATTTATTTAAAATTAACTATCATAGTAGTCTTAGTGGATAACGTGCAATAATTTTTATTTTAATTATGACAAAACTCCCAACTTAATAATTTATACTTAAGAAAAAAGTAATTTTGAGTAGTGAACGATTTATTAAGAAAATTTGAAGATTTACAAAGTTAGTTACATTCAATTGCATAAAGTTCTATTAGGCGAGCCCAGTACGCTGGTCGTTGGGCGTGTCCGGGGCGTAAGCCCCGATGGCCGAGGCGTAAGTCTCACGGAACTAAGCCCCACACATAAGTCCAGGGGCGTTTTACGAGTGCTCCGCCTCGGGGAGAGTCCCAATTCTGCCTTTTAAAACAGAGCATGTGAGAATTCAATGCGAGATTTCTTTCTTTATTGAGCTAGCTAGATTGGATCAAATTATAATTTTCATAGATTTTGTTAATGGTATATAGTGATTCTTATTTCTTTAAGATTTACAAAGAATTTCCATTTGCCCTTGTTTTGGGAACATGTTCCGCATGGATGATTTCACCTATTAGGTATTTTTACTATTTGAAAAAAAAAAATCTTAGTAAATAAAAATATAATTATGATTAAATATTTAAATATTTTTTCTGGAATTTACACTCTAATTTATAATTTAAATATAATATTTATATAACATTTTAAAAGTTTTTACTCATATAGATAGGTTACACGCGCAACACGCGTATCATAAGACTAGTACTAGGTAATTTCATTCACAACAATGTCACAAAATTATTTTTTTTATATTGAAGTAATTGAATTGTTTTTATATATTAAAGTAACTAAGTTTATTCATTAAAATCATATAACTTTAGGCACTATAATAGCAAAATACCTTGATGAGTAGTTATTGTCATTATAGTAAATAAAGTTTAGAAAAGAACTTATTTCTTTTTTTAGTCTATTTCAAAAAGAGGGAATCCCTTCTATATTTAGAAATAATTTAACTTTAAAATTTTTCTTTTACCCTTAGAGATATAATTTATAGTCACACAAATATCTACGGATTATTTTAGACCATAAATTTCAAAAGCCTTTTTTTTTCTTAAACTCCAAATAAATTGAAACGCGAGGAGTATTATATTAGTAATGTTTAATTACTTTAATATATATTTATAATCATAGTGGATAAAATCTAATAATTTTTCTGTTATAATGGGTAAAGTTCAATTAATATTTTATGACAACAAATAGTTTTATGACTTCTTTTTAAAATGTGGATAAAGTTCAGTAATCATTTGCGAAATTAACCGGTATTTGTCAACCAAGTAGTTAACTGAAAGATTAGTCTGATTGTGACGACCCGGACGGTCGTCTCATGAGTTGCCGCCCCGTTTTTCCCGTTCCTACTTCTATTTGCATTAATTATTGGTTTCATATATGATCGGGTTGGTTGGCTCGGGTTCGGAAAGGTTTTGAGAAGGTTTGAGACACTTAGTCTCTTTTAGGAAGGCTTAAGTTAGAAAAGTCAGCCGGAAGTTGACTTATGTATTAGAGGGCTCGGATGTGAGTTCCGACGGTTCGGATAGCTTCGGGAGATGATTTGGGACTTAGGAGCGTGATAAAAATGTATTTTGGAGGTCCGGAGTAGATTTAGGCTTGAATTGGTGAAATGGAGTTTTTGGCGTTTTCCGGTTGATAGGTGAGATTTTGATATAGGGATCGGAATGGAATTTTAGAAGTTGCAGTAGCTTCGTTATGTCATTTGGGATGTGTGTGCAAAATTTCAGGTCATTTGGATGTGGTTTGGTTGGATTTTTTATCAAAAGCGGAATGCGGAAGAATTTAGAGCCTTAGGCTTGAATTTGATGAGTTTTCGTGATTTTTGATGTTGTTTGAGGTGTTTTGAAGATTGGTACAAGTTTGAATAAGGTTATGGAATATGTTTGTGCTTTTGGTTGAGGTCCCGGGGGCCTCGGGGTGATTTCGGATGGTCAACAGAGAAGTCTGGACTTTGTTGCAGCTGCTAAATTTGCTGCTTCT